GATCCGACTCATAGCGACCCCTCCTTGGGTTTCCGAGGCAGTATCACTACGGAAGTAGATTGCCCCATCTTCCTTCCGAGGAGTGGCTGGTGGATTCAGACTTAGAGCCTCCTAAATTGTGGGAGAATAAAATTCTGTTTGTTACAGCCATCTACTTCTGCTGTTTCTGTTATAGTAACACTAGATAACTAAGACACTTGGCACCTATCTATACTTCAATTTCTAGGCCTTCTACAAGTTATGACCTATATATGCAATGATAGTAGTAGTATCTTTTCATAAATTTATTAAAACTTACAAGTGATAGCAATGTGATTTTAAACTATATCTGCCTACCACACAGATATTTACATATAAACTAGTTCTTTCGTATTCTATATGTTTTTAATTTTTATACTTTTTTATTAGCACTGTAGTTAAGTAGAAACTGATAGGGGATATGTACTCTTTTAGTTATTGAAGAAACTCATATATAGAATATTTGACAAATATGTGAGTAGTTCATCATTTTAGTAAGAACCCTGAACTCAGATAACAATGAGAAAAGAACAAATTAAATACTTGGAAAAATTGAGGTCCCTTTGTCATTTCAAGAAGAATTCTGCTAATAGTGTTTGATCTCTGTGGTTGCTGAACATGATACATGATGAGTAAATTTTTTTTTCCTTGTCTGTCTTATTTCCCTCTTCTCCTTTCCTCTCCTGGGTTTTTCTGTTCCTTTTTATAATCCTTTGGCTGTTCAGCACTATCTACTGTGGCATCCTATTCAGGTGTGACTCTTTTGCCAGTATCTTAAATACACCAGACCTTCATTCTGCCTTGTATTTAGAAAAATGTAGTTTGGTCCTCATTTTATCAAGTCAGTGTTATAAGACTGACTTACAGAGAAGTCACTGTGTTTATGTGACCACATGTAACCAATGTGAACAATGACTTATAGATAGTACCTTTCCAGGTGGCATGTTTAGAATCTAACCAAGCCTCCTCTCGATAATATGCCTAAGGAATGGTTCTAATGATGAGAAGTTAAGGCATTATACGGAGCCAGCAGTGGATTATTCTGTTTGTTTTTACCAAGTGGGCCTTTCTTTGGCCTTGAAATCAAACTACAGCAAGCTGTTTGTTTGCTGAGAAAGGCAAACTAGTTTTTATCTTACTATATGGATATTTTAAATCTGTAAAGATTAACATAACTTACTGTTTTTCCTTCCCCTTCCTAGAATGACTGATGGATACTCAGGAAGTGATCTAACAGCTTTGGCAAAAGATGCAGCACTGGGGCCTATCCGAGGTAGGTGCACAAGAGATTGAAACATTTATAATTATTTATTATATACCACTTTAGACATTTAAATCCCTTATTGAGAGATCTTTTTTATTATCAGTAGGAAAGGAGTGAAGCAGTATTTGTGGAAACCCTTGTACTAAGTAGTCTCTAAATTAACCTTAAAAACCAAAACTGTTGCATTGAATCAGTTCCAACGCACAGCAACCCTATAGGTAGAGTAAACCTGCCTCATAGTTTCCAAGGAAGCAGACTGTTATATCTTCCTCCTGCAGCATGGCTGGTGGGTTTGGACCATGGCCTTTCGGTTAGCAGCTGAGAGCTTTAAACATTGTGCCACCAGAGCTCCTAGTCTCTCTACAGGGGCCAGCATACATTTTCTGGGCCACATATGGTTTCTGCTGCTGCAGCTACTGCTGCTCCCCTTCTTCTCCTTCTCCTTTTTTCTTTTCCTTCTTCATCACAAGCCTTTAAAAATGTGAAAACCATTCTTAGCTTGCATATCATACAAAACTAGGCCATAAGCTGTTGGCCCATGACGCCTGTTGTGTACAACAGGATTCCACTTGATAATGGGTAAGCAGCAGAAAACTCTTTTTCAAATAAGCAGAAAATAATTATAAAATGTTCTTATCTGTTTTCTGCATTTTTTCAATATTCTAATTCCACTTGAAATTAAATATTTCCACAGGAACATGTGAGAGAAATTTTTAATACTGTATGTTATCTTTCAAGGAATTGTAGCAAAATACATCCTCATTGCTATATTTTGTTCAAAGTTAATTTGTTGATCTTGATATCATGATTATTTTTAGGTTATGTTAAATTGTACTATGATAACACTTTAGAATAGATGTCCTAAGTTACTTTTCCATTGTCGGCATGGGCAGTGGATAGGTGATGCTCTCGTATTGAGTTGTAGCATCAGGAATTGCTTAAATGTGTGAAGGCTAAGAATCCGAATCAGCTCACCTCTGGTTCCTGTTCTGTGTAGGTCAGACGTACCTCTTCTCTTCAGTTTCTTCACCATTTATGATGCCAGCCATCTCTCCCACAGTACTCTCTACTTCTCTGCTGCGTTCAATAATTCATTGCAGTGGCCAGACAGAGCTCAAAGACCACACTCACAGTTTAGGGGCTTATTAGGGAAGCAACAGGATACAGCTTGGTATCAGGACCAACTTGGAAGTAACAGGAACAACTTACAAGGTAGTAAAACAGACCAGTCACAGGGCAGACTGCAGCCCAGGGCCAGAGAAAAGTATCAAAGCATCAAGTTGTTTACAGTTTATAAAGGAAATGTGAAATCCCCTGGGCAAAAGTAACAAATGCTCTGGGGTAAGAGACAACCTGGGAGCCCCCGACCCAACCTGTTTCTCCAAAGAAATAGGGCGAAAGTAAAAGGGGAAAAATCTTCCAAGCTGATTTCCCAAAGAACCAAGGCAGAGGGCCACATAAAGGAACTCATTTCACACAAGTATGTACTGTGTACTCACATTACTGGCTATGGAGATATAATAGAACATGGAACATGCAACTCCCAGAAAACTAATCATAGCTTTTTCCTTTCTCTCTCACTCAAAAAAGTATAGCTGAATGCAGTCAAATAAGATGTTATCATAGTTTCTGCTATAATTTGTATTGCTGGTCTACATTATACACAAACTTTTATTTGTTAAAAATTGCTTGCAACATAGCTCCCACAGTGAAACTAAGTAGAGTAGTAATTAAGAACTGCTGCTTTGGAGAGTAATAAATGCAACTGTGTGGGGATAGATTTTGAAACTGGGTGAAACATTTTAGTCATATTTCTTGTTACAGGAGGCATGAAGTCTTTTTCAAATAGTGAACAGAGAAATAGTAGCTAATGTATAAATCATTTTTATTTTTTAGAGCATTTTAGCCATTACTATAAGCAGAAAAAGTTGTTGGTTTACAAAAAAACTAATGGCTTTTGTAAAGACCAAGTTGCATTCTTTTCAGTCTTAAATTTGTAAACTTTATTATGCCCAAGCAATAATACAAAGAATTTGAATTCCTCTCAGTTACTCCTAACAAGGAATGTTAATTCTATTTATGAATTATGTATGCTCTTAATGTCTTTTTCTTCTAATATAATGGTTTTATCTAAGTAATTTTTTATAATGAG